ATTCCTGCTCCAGGCACACGCAGGGAGGGACTCTTTCTTGTCTGAGCCAGGAAGAGGATCTGATCCCCATCACTACAAACGTGCGTAACTGAAACCTGCAGCCATGCTGAAACAGATATTATCGGACATGTACATTGATCCTGACCTGCTGGCAGAACTCAGCGAGGAGCAGAAGCAGATCCTCTTCTTCAAGATGAGGCAGGAACAGATCAGACGGTGGGAGGAAAGAGAAGCTGCTGCAGTCAAGGCTCCAGCAAAGAAGTCACTGCCGAGAAAAGGTGAGTCCCTGCCTGCCGGCTGCTTCCCCCTCTGGCACAGATTTGGCCAAGTCAGCTGCTCCCTAGAAATAGGAGGTAACATGTTCTTAGAGTAATTTCTTCTCCCAGGGACATATCACAGTTGTTATTTCCAAACCATAACTAAACTCACCTGCGATGGGGTAGTTTTGGCTAGGCACGCAATGGTTTTACTCCCTGGGCCAGACATTCTGTCCTTGACCAAATTGCTCAACTCCCCTAGCTGGGAAGACTGGGCTTACTTGCCCCCAGGAGATGCATCTTATTAAGTTTCCCACTGAATGACGCCTCTGAATCTGTCTGTAAAATAACCACGGACTTGAACATCTGTCCTGGGGCACCAGGTCTGCAATGGGCGTCCCATGGTGCATTTAGACCTAAAGTCCCCTTGCCAGGGTTACACAGCGTGCCTGCTGCTAGGAAGCACTCTTCTCCCAGCTCTCCCTCATGTGCTCTTTTTGCAGGTAGTTCACACAGTTTGGGGAGGGTAGTGGCATGGAATTAAGGCAAGAAAGGAAACAGTGGTGTCTTCTCTCTTGCCCCCAGACTCAGAAATGCCTCCTTTATTGACCTGGTTTCAGTACTATGAAACGATTTGGAGGTGTGCACTGCATCCTAGCCAAGGTTTTCCCACTTACAGCTGCTTTTGGAGAGGCTCTGCCACCGGCAGCAGTCAGGAGGGCACAGCAGGTGGGACACAGGTCCCGTGCAGAGCCACTAAGCAAACAGCCTTTGCCAAAGAGCTGCTTCTTTTCCAGCCAACGGGAAGTCGGTGACATGGAGGCTCGGTGCTGACAATGATGTCTGGGTCTGGGTGATGGGCGAGCATCCTTCAGATAAATCGTATGCAGCCATCTGTGAAGAGATCCAGGCACAAAGGGCAAAGCGGCTAGCAAGAGAGCAAGGCAATGAGGGCAGGTAAGCACCCTTCAGCTGGTGGGCTCGGTGAGCAGACAGGGAGGAGAAGGCATTTCTAGGGACCCGGAGGCCAGAATCTTCTCTGTGCAGCCTGTGGTTACCGCTGTCACACTCGGCTTGCAGGCAAAAAGCACAGGCAGAGACTGGCTTTCTGCAAGTACGCACAATTCTGGCAGAGACCAGATCCAGCCCAAGGCTTGCCCTGGCTCATCCAGCCTCCTGTGATCTGGCTCCAGCTCACTTCCCTCTGCAGCCCACAGGAAATGCTAACTGTTGTCGCAGCAGGTGGTGCATTTGGATTGCACTGATTCACCAGCGGGTGCTGGCGTACAGCGGGACGACAGTTACTCACTGCGAGTCATTAATTTAATTATTCCAACTACTTGATTTGGAGATATAATAGCTGCCTGCACACATGTCGCTTCATTGCAGCACTGCTCTGCTCATGTGCAACTTCCTCACAGGATGCTCAGCGGGAAGTGTCTTCCTCAGGTTCCCCTCTCTCTTTGCATTTCAGAGAGACTGACTCGTCTGTAATACAGCCTCTACATCCACAACCAGGAGTCTGGAGTGAGACACGTCTTCATGAGAATAAAAACATCACTGTGGAGGAAAAGAAGGAAGGTGGAATAAAAACCACCGCTGCTACAACAGGGAAAAGCCAGGAGCTCATAAAGGTATTTTGCCCCCTTCATATCAGAAACATGTGGTTTGAGATCTAGGAAGTGCAGAAAATCCTGGCTGCTGTAAATAGAAATTTGAAAAAGAAAAAAAAAAGCCAGATAACTAAGGCTTTTACATGCTGTTACATTCTTCCTTAGGACTTGAGAGGTCTGAGTGCTATTCTCAGCTGGGATGCCTCTGGATTCCTTTGCTTCCATTCCCCATGGGTGAAACAAAGGTTGCAATACTTTCCCTCCTGCTCTGTGACTGGTTTGGATGGCTTTTGTGGCAAGACTGGAGAGGCTGTCCCAGGATCTGTACATGCCAAGCCATAGCCCTCAGACAAATCTTGTACTTGTATAAAAGAACAGACAAAGATAATTTTACCAGCATCCTCTGACATGCATATTTTAAGTTCTTTTTTTTTTTCTTCTAAGTTAGTTAGAAAATAGCTTGTGACCATGACAGCACAAGACAATGCCAAATGCAGTAACTACAATGTCTGCTTTGCTGTGGTGTTTCATTATAGAAATATTTTTCTCCAGCCATAAATACATTTCTACTTCTTAACTGGCTGCAAAAAGCCCTTTGTAGAGAACTGATAAAAAAAAGAGTTAAATTAGTTATCGAAGTTGAACAGAAGAAACAAAACACCCTACCAATTCCATGGGAGAAGTCCAATCTCATTCATCAGAGTTTTCATTCAGCCTTTTGCTGCTAAATTGTATGAATGTATATTCCTTTATTACACAGCCACTCCATGTTTCAGTATAAAAAGCACAATAACTGAAGGTTGAGTTTTGGCAAAATACCTCTCCCACTGCTGCCACAATACTGAAGGGAATTTAGAGCGGCTGTCTCCTTTATCAAAAGCCTCTGAGTCACATGAGGGTTTTCTTAACACTGTTTGCTGAAGTTGAGCAACTGTGTAGTAGATTATTTTTTTAAAGGCAGCTATTAGTCACAGCCTACAAAAAAAATACCCCAAACCACCACCACAAAAAAAATCTAACCCGCTTTCAAAGTCTTGTGCATGGAAATAAAGGGAGGTTCTACATTTTGCTGTTGATTTATGTCGTATTACTAGTAATTTTTCCCAGGTATGGGGGGTCTTTTGCTATTTGAAGGAGAAATCCTGACTGAAGACCCCTGTTGCATTTTCTGTGCCTATAGAGGGGCTTTTTCCTACCTCCCTCATTAAAATGCTTTCTCCGAGATATAGTTTAGTGGTCATGGTAGTAGTGGGTTGACAGTTGGATGAGATGATCTTAAAGGTCTTTTCCAACCTTAATGATTCTATGATTCTATCTAGTTCCCATTTAACCTGAGGGATCTGGGCGTTGCATTTTTTCTGCTGCAAGGGATGGGTGGGATGATCTAAGAAAACAAGCTGCTTTTGAAGCTCCTAGTTCCTGTTAAGGAGAGGGAAATTGGAAAGCCCTGTTCATATTAAATATTAGCCAAGCAGTTGATGGAGATAAAACAAAGCATGTCCTTGGTAAGCAGCATAGTACAGTTAACTCATTACTCTCGGTGCCATGGGAGGCAATCTGGGTCCAACTGGGCAGTGGGTGTGTGTTTGCTCAAAGACAAGCCTAACTGTTCGACTTCAAAGGCAGGTCTCAGCTAGTGACTGCTGCCAGGGTAGCTGGACTGGTTTGCAGGGAAGAGCAAACACAAGATAGGCAGCCAGTTGGGACAGTTTGACGAGCAGGGGTTTGCAGCAGCCCAGCCACAGCAGCAAACAAGCACAGGCAGGTAAAGCTGTAGATGGCAAGTTCTGCTAAGGTTTGCTTTAGAGGGAGGGAAGACACTGCTCCCTGTGCAAATCTAGGTGTGCTTGTGACAATCTTGACACCCCTTAATTCTCCTGCTGTGGCATATTAGGCCTCATACGATGAAAAAAACCCCCATAATGTTTGTCAGAGAAGGCTGGAAAAATGTGTTAACATAAATGTCACATCACTGCTTCTGCATGAAACACCTACTGTTCAAAAAAGAGCGATGGTCCTAACGCTGCATTTATTTCTCACTTTGCCCAGAGGGAAACCAGAGATGTTCACCAGATGCTGGCAGACTGCCATGTGAGGAAGCGTGGCTTCCACCAAGTAAGTAGGAATAGAGGTTGCTCCTAATACACGGAGTGGGCCCAGACTTTATCCTAGAGTCCCACTCAACCTCAGAGCCTCATCTGACCCAAGAACCTCCTCACCACTTGGACCAGTTTTATCCAGCATTGCCATGATCCTCACGCAGTGTGACAATTTGGAGAGGACACAAAGCAGACTAGGCTGGCAGACTGGGAAGCAGCTCCTGATGATTTCTGGTAGACTGTTTTCGCTTACTTTGTTTTTCACTTTTTTTTCCCACTTACTTTGTTTTTCACTTACTTTGTTGTCACCTACAGTAAAGACAGAGGGTCTGTATGTTGTTGAAATTAAGGAGATTCAAAATAAAGAATTAAGTTCCCAGTATTTCAGGGCTAGCTAAAAAGCAGGATTAAAACTAGCCCAGGACAAAGCTGAACATGCTGTTCCTTTCACAGATGAAGGAAGCACAGAGGAGAAATTCAGAAGAGACCACCGGCCCCCAGGAGGCGATACCACAGAGCGACCCCAGCTTGGAGAGCCAGAGAACAATGCAGAAATCAGATGAGAATGAGCCCGAATGGCAGGAATCCTGTAAGGTTTTAGAATGACCTTTTCTTCTGGGGCTTGAGAAATCCTAGGACTCTGTGGGGTCTTCTCAGTCCTTTTTTTGCCACAATGTGACTGAATAATTGGTTGGTGGGTGGAGAGTCCTTCCAAGAAATACAAGGCTGCGTTATCAGGAATATTTCTGAGCCCACACAGAATTGAGACTAGAGCTGGGCAGGGAAATGGAAATTTTTTCCTATGAATAATGTATTTAAACAAGCAACAAATAGGAACCTCATGAGTATAGCCAAGATAAGTAATTTTAAACTAGAAGCTGGACTTTGTAGGACTTTGCAGTAGCCGTTGCTCTTGATCATAAGGGTAAGGGGTGACAGGGACTAACTAAAAAGGGCTTCCCTGTCATCCAAATATGATCCCACCTAGGCAGACCACTGCTGCACTGTCTCATGTAATGAATCCAAATGATAGGAAGGAAAATGGTGAACAATATGAGACTTGCAGTAGCATCCATCACTGCTGCCAGATACTTTCTGAAGGAGAACCTGATGGGTTTTTTTATTTTTGCTCAGTTCCTCTCCTGTTGCTCAGTAGATGGCAATGTTATACTACCAATGGTTTCCACTTCAGGTCAGGGGTTTTATTTTTCTTACTGATAAAAAAAACCCTCAACAACTGAAGTTGATTGCAAAGCCAGGGAAAGAACTAGATGGACCAGAGAGCTGGTTACTCCTACAGACTCCAGGATGAGCTGGACCTAGATAATCAAGGCAGTTTTACAGAAAAAAAAACAACTGCAAAACAAACAAGAAAAAAAGAAACAAGAAACAAAACCAAAACCAGTCAAGTTCTCCACTTTCTGTAACAGTTTCAGGAAGACTACCTCCCACCTTCAAAAAACCATCAGCATTTTCAAATCCTTCAAAGGATTGATTTGGGGTCATTTCAGCAGCTTTTATTTCGTAAGCCTTCCCCCCATGAAAGGGACTACAGAAATCTATGTCTGAACCAGAAGTCAACATCTGAAATGAAACCAAGTAGTCTCTAAATACAAAGGGACCTGGTGCCCAGAAAGAACCAAGATTTTTAATCTCTTGAAGGAGTAAAACCTGGACCCTGTTAAGTAGCAGATGCCCCAAAGCCATGGGAAATGGCTTCACAATCGAGTGCATCTTTCACCTTGTGAAATGGGTTATTCTTCCACTTAATCAAGCAGGAAGATGGCCAAAGGGCAGCAAGGTTAAAACTCGCCTGCTTGTTCGTTCCTGTAGGACTCCTTTTCTGTTCCAGTGCGGAAATCCAAGGCAGCAGATGAGAAGAGACGCTCCCTTGCGCGGCAAGCCAGGGATGACTACAGGAGACTTTCACTGCAGGGCATCCACAGAGGGAAGCAGGCAGATATTTCCAAGGGTGCCACAGCAGGAGATCGACGACCACTCCAATATCCTCCTCTCCCCCCAAAGCCTAAAATTCTACCTCCTCCAGTGGCAAACGGAAGAGTGATTAGGTAAGGAAACACCTGCATGGAGGGGAGAAGGGATGAGAATCTTCTGCTCTAGCATGGGATGGTTGGGATGGGAAGGGTTAGCTCTCCTCGCATGGAGGAAACACCCTGCAAGAAAAAATACAGAGCCTAGGCTTTCCGGGGTGTGATGAGACTTATTTGTTCACCCCTAGAGTGTAACTGGTATATTTACTAGACCATCCTAAGCCTAGAATGCATACAGCTCTATGCTAGGTGACTACTGAAAATGATACAATATTGCTGACAGCTGCACAGAGTCTTCTGTTTACGGCTGTTCGTAACATCCTGAACAAAAGGTAATGCCAAGGGCTCATAAGCTGTTATTTGAATTTAATGCACAAACCGTGGTCTTTTCTGGCAGGAAAGAGGGAATCCAGAGGACAGTCTCCAACTCCACTGAAGAGAGCATCATCAAGTGGTTCAAAGAGGAGCAATTCCCGCTCCGAGCTGGCTATCAGAAAACGACGGATACAATAGCGCCTTGGTTCCATGGTGAGTCCTGAGCATTTCTGCCCCAACACAACTTTTTAAAGAGTTGTTTTGGCTGACATGGTTGCTGCCACAGGCTAGTCCCAGGAGCTTTTTGAAGGTGGCTAGGTTCTCCATTTTAAATACCAATGAACTCAGTCTAAATTCTTTTAGCATTATGATAAAAGGCAAGTTAAAGTGTTAGAACAGAGGCCAGATCTTCAAAATACTCTATACCTCTCTGCCACCCCTGCCTCCCTGTACTGGATGCACGATCACCATGGTAACTCTTTGGACCCAGGTGAGAGAGATTTGGGCACACCTCTTCTCACTCATCTGTGGCCCCAGGTCATTCTTCCTGCATCAACCTCACCGTTCCATCCATTTCTAATGGATCATCATGATCCCATCCGTCTCCCTTGCCTTGAAAACTCCTTTGTTCTGTGACTGCAGCAACAAAAGCATTATCCTCTTGTACCTGGGCTTTCAATGCTTGCCAGGCTTTCTGACAGGACCTATGATCACTGTCTGCACAGCCCTGCTACACTGGCATCAACATACAACACACTGCAATGCCATTCTCTCTCATAACAGAAAATGTTCTTTTGAGCCCTGAACATTTATCAGTCATAATCGCCTGAGTCTGGAGCAGTTAATATTAAGCACAGTTAGCACATGGCCGTGATCTGTTACTAGCAATGGCAGCACTCTTCTTCTGGGCTAATGGGCAACAAAGCAATGCAAGGGATAGAAGTGCCATGGATGGGTTTTACCAGAGGGGTAATAAAGATTTCCTGTGAGAGCTGTTCTATCCAGTCCCGCACAAATGCTTTTCTCCCTTCAGGTCTGTGGTTTGGTTTTGAACAGGTATCCTAGCCTCTAAGAAAGCAGAGGAGCTTCTGAATAAAGGAGTACCAGGGAGCTTTCTGGTCCGGGTCAGTGAGAAAATTAAAGGCTATGTGCTGTCCTATCGGTCTGTGGAAGGATGCAAACACTTCCTCATTGATGCCTCCAGTGATTCCTACAGCTTCCTTGGAGTGGACCAGCTACAACATTCAACGCTGGCTGACCTCGTAGACTACCACAAGGTGAATTTCCAGAAATATTTTCATTAACTGTTTGTTTAATTGCCTCAGGGCAACTTCAAACTAAGAAAGAATAGGTACAGTTGTTTTAAAGTAGGTAACTAGACTCACTTTAGCCACCGTTGGGTATCCTGTTTGCTGCCCCAGAAGGGTAAGCCAGCCTGATGGCTACATCTCAGGTTACCTAACACATCTCGAACATCTTAGACCTGACTCATCCTCCTCAAGTGCACAGAACACCGTGCACATGGCGCTCAAGTTACTTACACACTATTTAGTAGGAATGCTGATAAGGTAAGAGGTGACAGCATACTCATGCAGACTGCTTTTTTTACCCTCTATTCTCTCCATGGTTGTGGGGTCCTGGCAAGTTCGGTAAGCAGAAAATCCTGCTTGCCTCCAGCTTCAGCAGAAAAGAGAACAAGCATCTTTATAATCTCAAAACAGGCAAGGTGTGATACTGAGCAAAAGTAAAAAATAGGTGAGAGGGAAGAAAGTTGGCAGGTTCTTGCAACAGTAACAGCAGTGTTTACTAGCACTAACTGCAGTTACATGGGCTGCAAGGAGGGCTGGATGGATTGTTCATTTTCTTACTGTAAGATCTGCCCAGGGGCAGGATGATCATTTTGCCTAAAGGTTCATTTAAAATCCATATTTCTTTTAAGTGCGTACCCTAATGCAGACACGGCTAAACAAAACTGGACATGAGGAAAATATCTATATTCACTTGCTATGTGGAGCTCTACCTGGGCTCCCTGAACTTTCTTCTGGCATGGGTTTCACAGTTCAGGCTGAAATTGTAGAAAGCAGGTGCTGTATGGCTATTGATACCAGACACAGACGATTTAAAGCTTAGCTGTGCATATCTATATTAAAGATAGAGCCATGCCCACAGTCTGGGTGAACCCAATCTGCTGAAGTGCTCTGGGTCACTGGGCGACCTCAGAAGAAGACAAGTTCCCACCATGTATCTGCTGCTAGGGTGGGGAATGAGGTGGGAACCAAAGACTGCGCTACCAGGGAATTCCCCTGTTATAATAGGGCTTGTCTGAGCTCACTCCAGGATCCACCCTTGTCCGTCCCACGAAAGCAGCCAGGACTGCAGTCCACAACCAACCCATCCTGCTTACCTGCATGCTGCACAGCCCTGGCTCCAGCACTTTCTAGGCAGGGCAGTGTTTCACACCACAGAAGCTGTGGTTGCCTGCGAGTTGAGAACAGCTCTTTGTGAGAGCAGCCAGCATCGTGTCACCGGGTTACTGCACCAAGCAGACGTTCTTTTATGAAGACAGAGGACAGCCACGTGGGTTTTTCCCGGAGTTCCCCAGGGCACTGAGTTGTATTACACAGCGAGATGAACAAATCCACACCATAACAGAGGCAGGGAGACCACTGTCGACTGTGTGATGTTGTGATAGGTAGGGTCTGTTTGAAAGATGGTGTTTAATCATATCCTATATCAACAGGATGAACCCATCACTTCCTTGGGGAAGGAGCTGTTGCTTTACCCGTGTGGCCAAGAGGACCAAGAACCAGATTACATCTCTCTCTTTGTATGAACCTCCCGGTTTCGCTGTGCAGCCCCATCCTTTTATTCCCAAAGACTGAACTTCAAACTAGAGCTGCTGATGCTTACCTGAAACAATTGCCATAAGTGCCTCTATATTACATCCCTCACAACCAAGCAGTGGGGGGATAAGTACTGTTGTGAGCTTTAAAGGATGCATCAGCCCAGAAAGCTGCAAAGCACCTGGACGTATCTGGCAAAATGGAGTGAGTGAGGTGATGAAGTAATCAGCTGAACAGGGAGATGCTGCCACTTATTTTCAGTGGGTTTTTGCAGACTTCCTGGGGGACTTCTGTATTCTAGCTGCCCTTTGTCCTTGATCACAAGGTTGTGTAACAGCTAGGAAATAGATTAGTTGAATGAGATCATACCTTACTGATGGCACAAAACAACTTGGAGAGGTGAATCAGTCTTGATATAGTAATTTGCATAATGTGAAGCTTAATCCTGTAAAACACTGTGCCCTTGGAATCAAGGGTGTTCAAGACAAACATCCAAACAAACCCTTGGTGCCTTTCAGTGAAAGGTGTTCTCTGTGAAGGGAGATTTTAATGAAAAAGTGTATTTTTTTAAACTCCTTTAGCCTCTGAATGCAAATGCTTACCCTTTTAACCTGTATTTAAATCCCAAACTGACATTTCTGCGTAGAAAGGGATTAACCTTTGAAAGGGAAAGAAGAAGGCATACAGGGATTTGTACAAAAGACTAGTATTTGCACAGAACCTTAAAAATGTAAGAAGCAGCGCCTGTATCAGTATTAGTACAGTTTACATAAGAGTGTTTTCCAGTAAAGAATGCTATTTTCCAAAATGGAGCTATTTATTGCAAGTTGTGTCCAGATTACTGAGATGCATCCAGTGTAAACTTTAACATAGAATTTGTTCTTTCCACATAATGTTTTCTCTTCGGATCTGTTACACTGCTCTTTAAATAGATAATTCAGAATATTGAGGGAAAGGCTGGACAGAATCACGTAACAATCCTCATACAGATTCATGTTGTTGCACGTGATAAACTGTACAGCTGACAGTTGTAGTGCACATCTGCCAACGTATTTTAGAGAAGTGATCCTCACATGGTGAACAAAAGTCAATCTTGTTTCGGTTGTTTACCTATTCCCTTCTTCCTGTTGGATCAGGGCTACTTTGCTTGAGTTGTATATCGATCTGCATTTTGCAGAATACAAATTAAAAGAAATAGTCGTAATCCTCTGGTCTTAAAATTTACAACTATGCTGATAGGTGGTTTCTATACAAGGGAAGAGGGGATAACTGCACTCCAGTTACAGCAGGTTTAAATTGCTAGAGATAAAGCCTTAATGTAAGGTGAGATTCTGAAAGTAACAACACTCTAGCAGGGCAAATGACTTAAGGAGCTTCTTGAGCATTATATCACAGGTATCAAAGAGGTATTTTCCAACATAATCTGCATCAATTCTGAGAGGGGTGCTAGATTATTTGTAGGGAGAAAAATAATCCCTCCTTGCTTCTTCATGAGCTGTTTCTTTTGAAATACAAAGCCAAAATGAAAGGTCATTCAGAGATCCTAGTGAAAAGTTAGCATCTGTTCTCATATGAAGAGCAAGCCATAGCCGTTGGCTGGATGGAGACAAATCACAAAGTGTTTTGTATACATATGGACTGGTAAAGACAGGGGACAAAGTCTCCTTTAAAAAGTCAATCTGAGAGGCAGGGTGTTAACCTGCAGAAATAAAGTGCAGGTTGAACTTGCATGGAGACAGCAGGACATGTTCAATTTTAGCTCTAAGTTCTGTATTGGAACTCCTCAAGGTTTTACCTACTGAGCAATGGACCAGTACCTTCACATACCTTTAAGTACTTATTTGCAAATGTTGGCTCAGAAGAGCTGAGTGAAAGCCATTATCAGTGTTCACATCTATCCTGAGTGCTTGAGAAGCACGTTTTAAAAAACTCCCAGCTTCACTTGACTGCTGTGAGGGAAGAAACCTGAAGTTTTATACCTACACATTTAGATTACTGCATGGACTGTGAAGGCAGCACCCTTGCCAGAACAGATGCCCTCAACAGGGAACTGCTTGAGAGAGTCCATCACAGAGCCACAAAGACGATTAAGGGAGTGGAACATCTCCCTTATGAGGAAAGGCTGAAGGAGCTGGGTCTCTTCAGCTTGGAGGAAGACTGAGGGGTGACCTCATTAATGTTTATAAATTTGTAAGAGTTGAGTGTCAGGATGATGGAGCCAGGCTCTTTTCAGCAATGTCCAATGACAGGACAAGGGGTAATGGGAACAAGCTGGAACATAGGAGGTTCCACAAAAATATTAGAAAAAACTTTTTCACCGTGAGAGTAACAGAGCCCTGGCACAGGCTGCCCAGGGAGGTTGTGGAGTCTCCTTCTCTGGAAGTGTTAAAACCGTCCTGGATGCGTTCCTGTGTGACCTACTGTAGGTGATCCTGCTCTGGCAGGGGGGTAGGACTAGATGATCTTTCAAGGTCCCTTCCACCCCCTAACATTCTGTGGTTCTGTGATTCTATTGCTCTGAAATCTAGTTACCATGAAAGTCTGTAGAGCAAGGATGAAAGGCTGACTTTCAGCAAAAAAAAATGGCTCATCTTGGGGAGATGTTCTGTGGAATCTTTCTTTCTTCAAGGGATGTTGGGCAAGGATTACAAGGGTAGTCGCATTTGAATTGCTAGCTGGAGAGATCATGGCACCTGGAAGGATATGGCAATTCGTTTTGTCTCATGCCTTCCTGCCTTTAGCCAGAGTGTGTAAAAGTCATCAAAAATTATAGCAAGGAGTCTCCATATGGCCTCCCCCATCTACACAGTGTGATCTCTAGTCCCTCCTCAACCAAGATTCAGTCAGTTGCCATTCTGAGAGACATCACAAGTTGCTTCTGGGACAAGGAAGGTAGAGAGATGCCTGGCAAAAGCTATAGTTCTGTTGGCTGCTCTCTTTGGATTTCATCTTTTTCTAACTGCTCTGGAAGACCTGTTACAGCTTCACTTGTCTCACAGAAACACAGCAAGCAGCAGCTTTGCTTTCTCATGTGGTTCCTCACCTTTCATATCAGTGCAGTCTTCACCCTTAAGAGAACCCTGCCAAACTTCTGCTGAGATTAGACTCTCCAGCACATCACTGATGTGGCCAATGACTGTGGGCTGGCTCTCTCCATCATTGATTCAACCTGACCTCTTGCCAAACTGACTTCCACAGCCAAGGAACAGGAACTGCGTACACAACATTATTCCTCTCATGAGGAACAATATCTCTGTGGGAAAGGATGTGCAAGAGAATTACAAAGGTGCCCTTTAAAAATGTAACTTGTGAAACTCAGACAGCAGCCGGATGACACGCTTGCTAAGGTACCCAGAGTAACAAAGTGTTGAATTTACAGGTGACCAGTGCTTAGAATTAGATACTGATAGGGGTTTGAAGGGACCTCTGGAGATCATCTGGTCTGGCCCTGCTCTACAAGTGTGGCCAACCTCAAAGTTACATTAAGTTGCTTCGGGCTTAGGAAACCTAAGGGAAGATAACAAAAAACCATAATGCAAATAGTTAAGGCTAGGCTGGAGACAGGTTATGATGATGAAATTTTCATAACATACATCCCACTTATATATATATTTCATAATATGTATTCAAATTCAGGTTAAGTGGATTGTAGAAACAACTATTTCCTTGGAGCAGTTCAGTAACCCCAGCTCTCATATGCATTCAACAAGCCATGCCTTTCTCCTCATACTGCATAATATTTGCAAATATCATCAAAACAAAGCCTTTTATAAACAATTTATCATGTATCCTGGGAACAAAAAAGTTCTCTGGAGGACCCACTTGGGTTATTGCTGAAGATTATATGGTAAGTGATGTATTTGAGGGTTGGGTTTTTTAAGCATGCAGTTTCCATTCTTTTTGTATTTTTGCAATGCTTTGGACATTTGGTGATTTGCAAGGGAAGAGTAATGCAGCTCATTCGCATCCAACAAAAGACAAACACATGTAAACATGTGTCCAGGGAAAAACTGCTTACAGTAGCATGGTCTCTGCAGATTCTACTTGCAATGCTTTCAAAAGAGGTTCAAAAACACTCTTCCTACTGCACAGTGGTGCCACAAATAGTGGTTTATTCATTGTTCAGTTCTATCTTGCATATTTCTTCACCCAGCTTTTATAAGCCAAAAAACCAAATTAGAATCTGTCTTCAGGCTGCCTTGAATTAATCTGAAGCTATAAAACAAAGAGACACAGCATTTAGGCAAGCAAGCGGGATTTTCAAGCCCATGAAGTTTTTGTTGGCTAGTATATATTAAAATGATAAACAGCAGTCAGCATTAAAAGAAAATGCTTTATGAGAGCAGTAACTCATGATTTCAAAAAAATCTAAGAAGGAGACTAATTTTTAGGATGCACCTACAATTATCATAAGAGAATTTGCAGGGTCCAATAATCCATCACAAAAATTTATTTTGTTAATTACAAAAAGCTTGCTATGCCCTGGGCAAGATTCTGCATTTGGTTTAGAAGGAATACTTTGGTATAAAGTCAGAAAATGTTCATCAATTTTGGTATGCAACATTCAGAGTTTAAAGCCTCCTGCTAAGTCAGTACTACAAGTTCGTATGTATTTCTTTTTCTTCAGCATGGTAAAGCTTCCAGCACCCAGCTAGTGTAGAAAAAACACTTTACTTATCTGAACCCAGTTCCCATTCACAGGAAACACAAGTCTGCAGAGCATTTTCCAAGTGTTGGAAGGCTGTACTGTTTTCTAGTAAGGCTAGAATTAGAAAACCTGAAGTATGACAAAATAATTCCCAGGTAAAACCAACTTCATTTAAAAATAAATCTTGAGATACTTACAGTATTCTCAAGCAGAAATACACCATCTGATTCATGTGATACAGACATGGCTCATTGCTTTTGGTTCACTGTCCACAGAAGAGAACAAACACCACCCTCCAGCATTTTTGAAACATCACACTTGACCAGCAGGGCTTGCTTTTTATGAATTTTAGAAAGCACTTTCTGAGATGCCTCTTGTCTCCGAATGAACCCAGAATACCCTGTTAGTGCACTCCTGCTGTCCCCACTGCCAAAGTCCCTTAAGGGAAAAAGATTTTTGGTCACTCCAGCTTAACCATCCTTAACAATCAGATGTCCTTCTCAGAGCAGGAGCTCTGTACTTATTCAAAAATAGCCTCTTTTAGATATGTCAGGCTAGATGTAGAAAATAACTCATTATTATTGGCCCATCAAAGGGTCAGTCCTTTAAATAACTGTACACATCTTGCAAACACTTACATGGAAGAGCACATCCATTTGTTATTGTGAATAACGCACTGGCATTTATGTAATGTTCATTGTTCCCAAGACCTTGAATCTCATCAAGTGTTCAAGTCACCCCCAGAAGCAAGAGCTGAACAGTCAGGCTAATGGGAGTACTTAAAAGCTGTATTAGAAAATAAAAATAAAAAACCCAACAAACAGAAGAACAGACGACAAGTGCTTTGCCTCATCTTCTTTTGCTGCCATCCTGCTGGAATCTCCGTCTCCTTTCAGTCACATCTTGTCTTTTCTTGCTATCAATTGTTTCCAAAACACCCTGTAGTCCAATTCAGAGGCTTTTTGCCTCCCTTTCTGGCTTCATGTCTTCTTACTGCTAAGTTTCTGTCTGTGCAGGTGTGTCTCAATCTCTTGCTTGAAAACAAGCATCCCAAGCTGGCCATGAGACGCCTCGTTCATGGCCTTGGACTGCATGCACATTTTGTACTGCTCTGGCGTCAGCTCATCCAGGCATTGCTTTTCGTGCCACAGATGGAAGAGACCCCTGACAGGCGTTCGGATCACGATAAGGTTGCTGTGAAGGTATTTGCGGTACAGATGTACATCTTCACCACCCCAGCCTTTAATGTCCAGATCAAAGCCACCTGACACAAACAAAATCCAAAATAAAACTAGAAGTATATACTAGCAAACTCGATTCTATTAATTAATAATAGCACTACAGCTGTTCTCTGGCTCCAGTCATCCCTTTAAAACAGCCATACTTTCTGCCTCCATCAAAGTGTGCAAATTTTTTAGCTTCGAATCTTTCACTATTAGACAAAATTGCTTTATTTGTAGCGAGTAGCACTTAGAGTCTGGTAACCTCTATGGCACCTAGGTATAGTCTGTATGTCTAACCAGAGCACTGCTGCAAATTAAAGGCAGAGACACACTGGCCAAGGAAAGGGAACCTGATCAGTTTTCTGTATTTCAGTAAAAATGGCAGATGTGTTGGAGTGTATTTTTCTTACCTATGTTGATAAAATCAGATCTGTACTGGCAAGTCATCCCAAATCCAAAGTCTCTCCAAAATCCAGTTTCTTTTTTAATAACCTGCATGGAGGGAAAGGAGTGTTTATATGGGAGCAAAAATACTTCCAGTGTGAGCAGCAGACAGGTGGTCAGAATATGGTCAGAAATAGGAGCAACTGCCTTCTGCCCTTTTTTTCCTTCCCCATATAAGTCTATTGCTGATCCTGAAGCAGTTTTTGTAGATATTTATTGCATATTTCTGCCCCAAAAAAAACCAGCCGCGTCATTATCTTTCACAGATAAACCCCGTGATCCATAACAATCAGGTTTTGCTCCACTCCGACTGTTGTAGATCGAGTGGAGCAATATCACATCACACTCTGGAGTTTGCTTCTTTGCAGGCAAAACATCCTCCAAAATCATTAGTTTCTGTGGGATTCAAATCTGACATAGAAATGTCCTGGTAAACCAGGAAAGCCAGACTTTGCTGTAGAGCAGATGGTGGCATCTGGATTGTCAACCACAAGAGCTCAGGAAGCAAACAGTCGTTCTAATCTGATCGCATAACTGACAGCTTATTGATTACCCTAATTTTGACAAAAATCAGGAAAGTGGTAAGTATAGTTTCCCATTACAGAACTATTACTAAATCCAGCCATAATTGAAGTCCAGAAGCGTTAGGTGGTAGGTATACATACATCCCGCAAAAGCCTTTGTAATAACGAATGGGCAGTCTACGTTACTGAGATGGACCATGAAAACATGTATTAGAGGTAGAAAATCAGGGCAGTGAGAAACCATGGCTATCATTTTCAAAAGCAGATAGCCAAGTATAAATCCCTAAGGTCATAATTCACATGTGTGACTGATCTAACCCAATCTGGTCAGACATCCAAGAGTTTAAAGGGACTGGGACAGGTATTTAAAACCTCCAAGCAAGTCAGCAGTACTTCCCACTCTCAAAGGTCTCCCCCTTAGCAGCTATTTCTGAAAATTTTGTCTTCACTTGCAACAAAATTACAGAAAATGAGGAAATAGAATTTCCACTTCTGGATTTACAAATCCAGCATTTCCTTTACCAAAAAATCGTCTTCTGAAATAGTCTTTCCTGATTTCTCATTCATGTCTCCTCTTTTTGCTCATAACCCTTGTCACTTCAATGGGTTTTTTTTTAAAACTGCTCATGCTGCTATCTCTTCTCATTTCTCCTTTGCTTGAAAAAGTCAAGCCACTGCAGAAGTCAATTAAAAGGAAACGAGATTGTGTCTGTCAGGTCTGCACTGTAACAAGAAATCTCCATAATGATGCCCTTACAGTAAGCCACTTGTGTGCATTAGCATTATTATTTCCCATTAGTGCAAGTGGCTGCTGCACAAATCAAATTCTTTCAAAGATATCTGAAGGCTTTTTTTTTTTTTTTTTTTTCTCTGCAGCTCGAGTGCCAGGACAGAGAGCTAACACTGTCTTGTTTTAGTGGCACAGACCTGGCCTCATGCCTGGGAACTAATGTGGGCTGAATATATAAAAATCTACATAAAAATTAAATTGGCAGTACTTCCTTAAATCAAGAAGCTTTTCTGACATAAGTATCACATTTTACGATTCAAATATTAGCTATATATTTGCACAATCCTGACAACATTCTTTGTAGAATTTATGCTAGCTTGAGAGATAGACTCTATTTCATTGCCTCAGCACAATGTTTACAAGCCTGAGGATCCCTGACAGGCTCTCATCAGAGAGAAAAGAACAAATGTGAATGCCATGGTATTATCAGAAGTTTCCTCTGAGAAAAAACATCGAAAAGGATTTTCCAGACTCTTCAGTAAAAGGCTTTCTGACTACCTGATGGATAATACAGGGAGAAGTAGACAAAAAGAAAATATGTTAAAATATCTTGCATGAACTTTTCAAATTCTCTTTCTTCATTTTTCTAAAGGAGTTGCATGAGGTGGGGGTAGTGATGACAGAAAACTGGAGTCAGACTCCGTGTGACCTTCTGCAGCTCTAACTGCTGGGCTCACAACATCCCTAATTCTTACCTACCCAGAACAACAGCAGAAGCTGGGGTGCTCCGGAGACAGTGTCCAGCCTGGGACAGGATGAGCCCTGACAGGTGCAGTGCCCAGCAGTAAGAGGGGCAGCTGTGGCAGGCTGGGACTTGACCCAGACAAACCAAATGAAGCTGCGTAGCTGGCTTATGCTTCAACTTGAAAATTAAGCCGCTTCCCAGCAGAGGACTGCTGACCAGTCAGGATGGGTTCATAAAGGGCAGGTCCGGCTTAACAAATCTGTTCTTCTATGACGAGGAGACCCATTTAGTGGATGAGGGAAAGGCTGTATCATTTAGCTGGACTTCAGTAAAGCCTTCAATACTGTTCCCCACAGCATTCTCCTGAAAAAAAAATGGCTGCCCAAGGCTTGGATGGGTGTATGCCCTGCTGGGTCAAACACTGGCTGGATGGCCAGGCCCAGAGAGTGGTGGTGATCCAGTTGCTGGCTGGTCACAAGTGATGTTCCCCAGGGCTCAGTGTAGGGGCCACTTCTGTTTAATATCTTTATCAATGATCTTGATGAGGAGATTGAGAGCACTAAATTTGCAGATGACACCAAATTAGGGGAGATATGCTTGAGGGTAGGAAGGCTCTGCAGAAGGACCTGAACAGGCTGGATTGATGGGCTGAGACCAATCATAGGAAGTTCGTAGTAGGAGGTTCAAGAAGGCCAAATGCCAGGTCCTGCACCTGAGCCACAAAAACCCCAGGCAATGATACAGGCTTGAGGAAGAGCAGCTGGAAAGCTGCCCAATGAAAAAGGACCTGGGGGTGTTGGTCAACAGCCGGCTGAACATGAGCGAGCAATGTGCCCGGGTGGGCAAGAAGGTCAAGAGCATCCAAGAGCTTATATCATAAATAGTGTGTCCAGCAGGACTAGGAAAGTAATTGTTCCCCTGTACTTGGCACTGGTGAGGCCGCACCTTGAATACTGTGTTCAGTTTTGGGCTCCTCCCTACAAGAAAGACATTGAGATGCTGGAATGTGTCCAAAGAAAGGCAATAAACTGGTGAGGGCTCTGGAGCCACACGTCTTACGAGGAGCGGTTGAGGGAACTGCAGTTGCTCAGCCTGGAGAAAAGGAGGCTGAGGGGAGACCTTATCAGTCTCTATAACTACTTGAAAGCAGGTTGTAGAGAGGTGGATGTTGGTTGCTTCTCACAAGCTACAGACGATAGGACAGGAGGAAATGGCTTCAAGTTATGCCATGGGAGGTTTAGGTTAGACATTAGGAAAACTTCTACACTGAAAGGGTTATGAAAGCCTGGAACAGGCTTCCCAAGGAAGTGGTTGAATTGCCATCCTTGGATGTGTTTAAGAGTTGTCTAGATATGGTGCTCAGGAACATTGTTTAGAAGTGGACCTGGTAGAGTTAGATAACAATTGGACTTGGTGATCTTAAAGGTCTTTTCCAACCAAAACAATTCTATGATTCTATGACTTACTGACTCTGGAAAGAAGCAAGAGTGAAGGGTGTACATAGGTGTACAAAGGGTCACCCCTTTATCTTCAAGACAGCACAATGCAAGGGCGCAAGAGAAAGGAGAATGGCACCCACAGCAATGCCAACCAATGGCTCTGCCATTAGCCTTCTTGTGAACCTCTCATCGGTGTGCTCTGCTTCTTCCTCACAACAAGGAGACTCACTCAGGTTTAGCTACATGTTTTAATCATATGCCTTATGGCAGTGTTTTTAAAAATAATGCTTTGTTCTCACACCAAAGATAAGCAGACAAGATGGAAATCAGGGAGTTATGCTGTGTTATATCAGTGCCAGATTAAAGCTAGAAGGGACAACTCCAAGCATGCCATTTGACTCTGAGACAACATGTGACACTTCAGAAATACATTGTCTGCTCACAGGCAGTTTAATCATGAACTGCAGGATGGGAAAAGCCACTGTAGGTGTTCTAGTAAGTGAGAATAACTGTGACAGCCACTGGAATTCTGTTTTCACTGACTCATCTAAGGATATTTATGCTTTTACAATTGTCAAATCTTCAAGATGCAAGCAAAGAAACTATTCAGCGCAAGGAGGAAATGAGAGCAAGATCAGGGGCTGTCACACCAAGACAGCACACCAGGAACTGTTCACTAATTAGAAAATTTCTTCTGGCAGAAATGCAGACACAGTTTAAATTCTTAGGTTCCATTTATAAAACACCAGACAAGGGTTAAAATAAATAGTGCCAGGATATTTCCCTGTTTAACTTAACTCACAGTAAAGTGACCATTGCAGTTAATTTTGTCTGTGTGGCAGTGACTGAACACAGAATAGGGAAATACTACTCGAGAGCACATGCGCCCTTAAAAAATGCTTTGTCCAAATAAAATCAGGCATTCAGAGAAGCATGCACTTACCAGCTGCTGTTCTAAAGATGGGATGGAATCATGGTGTCCATAAATTATACTGGGGTTATACTGGCTGAAGAGAACAGGATAAAACACTTTCTTCCCTGGAAATGACAATGGGTTATTATTTTTTTTTTAAGCTGTATAAAACACACTTCTCTCTCTTACAAGATTCTGTCCATGCCAGATGAAATACAGTGTCACACAGGTTTTGGACTGTGCCTATGTTTTTTGCATGAGAATGTGAATGTGAGGATACAATTAACAAAAAGATTGTATTCCAGAAAGCACAGGTGCTGAAGGCAAAAAATTCAATCAGAGTGGGAGCAAGAGTGTTATAACCTTTCAAAAGCCAACCAACAATGGAATTTTTGTATGTGTCTTTATTAGTTCTCTATGAGTTTCAAGAATGATTTACAGCAGCCTCATTACCAATTCAAAGACAAAAGTACTCTGGTGAAGGCTGTTACACAACAGGTAAAAAGCTGTTGAAAGACCATACACTTTGTGAGTAGCAGTACCTGGCTGTGTGTTCAGTCTACAGGAGTTCAGGAATTCAGCTGTGAAGTATATGTCCACATCGCAAAAAAAGAGAACAACATTGTTTCCTTTCCAAAATCGAGCACCAATGTCTAATCCTTTGCCCCTGGAAAATTCTTCATTCAGCTGGATGAAAGTAAAGTTCTTGAAGTTGGCTGACCTAGGAGAAGGAAAATATTCAGCAACTGACCCTGCCTTTCCATCTCTTAACACAAATGCAGGCAGAAATCCCATATGAAACAATTAACGCAGCAACCTGTAGCATCATAATTCTAAGAGCACTTTGAGGGACAGCACACATCAGATGTTCAGATATCCTCTTTGAGCCTTGAGAAGATTTCCACTACGTTAACATTCAGAGCTTGACCTGTGAACTCCTCTGCTAGCATTCCTGTCACAGACATTCTATGTGAAGACCTCGCAAAATCCCACAAGGCTTATACGGACAAAGAAATAACTTTAGTTGGCAAATATAAAACACCGGTGGTCATATTACTCCATCTATACCAGAGTCTTGTTCCCACATGGAGATGATAACAAAAGGCTACACTACCACCTGATCTTGACAAACACAACTATGAAACAAACACAATAGGCCAAACCTGGCCAAAAGCATCTAGTTCCTGTGTGCACCTGCTTTTGGAAGTCAACATTCAGCCCTAACAGTTAAAGCCACTTTCAGAACCACTGAAGAGTTTATTAGTGTGGGGAGTGGAGTTGCACTGAGGTAAATTCAGTGAAATCTGCTGCTCTGTGGTTCTAAAAATCAACATCACAAAACCACAGATATGGGACTGTCAGGGTAACACCGTTTATATCTGATACAAAGGAAAGCAACCATTCTCCCCAGTGCAGTTTAAAACTTTTTGGCACACCTACGAGCTGGGACAGCTATCTAAGTCTCCAATTCATGGCATGATTGCTGTGTGAACAGAACACATCAGGTACTTACTTGGAGGTATTTTCAAGTATGGATTTGACTTCATTCATCTGTTCTTTTCCAAAGTAAACTACAGTGAGGTGAATTCTCCCATCAATTTCCCTAGAGAACAGAGACAGATTTGTGACTTACCCCAGAAGTTAGCTTGCTTCCATAACCTACACCCACTGGGGAAGGCAGAGCAGGGTGGACCTTGGAAATCTTTCCCTGAGGGAACAATTCATTGGCAGAGATCCTTGACATGACAAAGAGGCTCCTTGTCTCTGTCAGATGGGACATAAAACTATCTTTAAGGCAGATTGGGAAAAAATTCTCAAAGTGGTGTTTGTTTTATTAATAGCAGAACATTTTTAAAACAGGCCGTCCAGCCCAGGAAGAACAATCAGGCAGGCAATAACTCCAGCACTTTGGAGAATATGAGAAGAGGGGTTTTAAAGAAGCTATACATACCGAACCTCTTAACCTTGCTTTTTTTCCTAAACACATATTCCTGAGCTCAGTTCTTTGGCATTTTGTAAAGAAACATTTACTAAAATCTAAGTGTCAACCAGAGATAAGGGTAGGACCAATATGAACTAATGCTAGACATCATGCCTCACTTGCACAAAGTTTAGTCGGCAATAGTTCATCTGTAATCAGCAGAGAGATCAGCATGACCAGAGGGTGATTTCTCTCATCTTAGAACAAGCATCTATCAGAGGGCTAATTTAGACAAGGAGCCTATTTTTAGATGGCTGTAATTAGGCAAAACAAATCCCATTGTAAGAGTCAGTATCTGCAGCTAAGACAGTCTTTTCTGGACAGCTATTTAAAGCTACATCTCAATTAAATTCTCCCTCCAAACATCATCTCTGTGCTGAAAAATAAGTTTAAAAGTAAATATCCTGAAAGCCAAGACACATTTCTTTCTTGTCTCTTACTGCCTTCATCTTTTCTCTAATAGGGCCTGGCAAAGGGAGCACTAATTCCCTTTTTTCTTAGAAATATTAATTTGCAACTAATGGCATGCAATTCTCATATTGCTACAGTCGTGTGTGCCCCAGCATAAGAGACTGAGACACATAAGACAGGTACATGCAAAACCCCGATGGGTGAAATGTAGTTGCTTTTACTGCTAGTCACAATGCATTAAGCAGCCAAATACTCTTCAGTCTCTATAATTCCAAAAACGACTTCTCAGTGGCACAATTAAATTTTAAATAAAAGTAGAATGATTTTTACTGAGTGCGACCTTGATACCTCCTGAAATTGCATCTTACTTTCCAAGTAATAAAAAGCAAAGGCAGCACTGGAATGGAAACCCACCTGAAATTCTGCATGAACTGTCGAAATTTGCTGGCTCTCTTGGCCAGTGGCACAATGACATTAATAAGTGTATCACCTATATTAACATTTTCATTTTTCACTTTCATTACAGGACCGAATGGCCGGAATAAAACAATCTTCTTGAACTGATGTTTTACATCTCCTTTGAAAGTCAGCTCATACAAGGTGCCTTTGTCTTTTTCTGTTCGGTAGATCCCTGCGTGAAAACAAAAGAGAGGAGATTCTAGATTAAAACTGGTCTCCTAGGGGGAAAAATGGATGCAGTCTTCATGTGTTACACCTCAGGTGAAAAGGCAGCAGAGGCATGAGATACTGACTTTGAAACCAGCACGCAATCCACCATCATTTGGAGGAGGCCGTTACTTTGGCAGGGACACAACTCTGAGTTGCAGGAGCTATTTGGTATTCTCACAGGCACATTCCTAGGCTTGGCTGAGTTACAAACCCCTGAAGGTTACCAATTGCTCACACTCAGTAGAACCCAGCAGACATACTGTTCTTATTTTTCAGACTGCTCTGGTTGCACGCCACAGGCGGACATGGTAACGGTGATGCGGAGAGACTGCAAAAGCCAGCCTGCCTGCCTCTCTGCAATATGAATGATTAGGCCGTCTCCCATAAAAGCAATTTCGTGATGAGCACATTCATTTCCTCCCTTCTGGGAGGTTTTCTGGAAAGTCCTTTAATAAAACTATGCAACCAGGCATCCAGCAGCCATCAGCTTCACCTACTGCCAATCCAGACAACATTCTCCCTTTACTCAACTCTCAAGAGACTTTTATTTTCCTTGTGGCAAGGATTCCCACTCCTGGGTGAGTAATGATCTGCAAGGATAACACTGGAGTTTGTTAGAGGCTAGACCCAGGACACAATCCTGGAGAGTGCTTTAGACAGTGTCCAAGGATACTTAATTCATACAAGCATGTACTTACTTCCTGTATGGAATTAACTTTCAGCACCCTTGAGGGGTGAAATTGGTCCCGTGTTGAAAGGCTGGCATGAACTATAAATGTATTGTTTGTGCCCCACTGAAATACTGATACCTTAAATGAAATGAAGTTGGCAAAAAGGCTGTAGATTTTGCCCACTCTAAATGACACTACAGTGCATACTGAAATAAAGCTTTTACATAGAGCTGTTAAGTTTAAGAAGGAATAACGAAATCCTAATTCTAACTACTTGTTAAGCCACTGTAAATATCCTAACAACTTCATTAGCAGGAGAATATAATTGCATTGCTTTCCATCTCTTGCAGAAACTCAAGATACAAGTAAAACATGTCTGTAAGAAAACTCCACTTGACTTGTTTCGTCTTTTTTTTCTCCTCAAATAATGTGGTTTTTTGTTGTTAAAATCTTAGTCATTCCCTGACGTGTAACATTATTGTGCATTTGACCCGTAGACTATTCACTCTGTCTGTATTTCTTTTCAAGATCTGGGTCGAAGGTTTCCTTGAACAGCAAAGTGACATAAGCTTTTTATCTTTTATTGTAGTTTTTATACTGATATGTCCAGAACATCCAAAAGATTAACGAGATGTGATTTTACCTAGCCACAGTTCTGTGGACTGTCTTATCTTCACTATCATTGTGAAGTGTTTTCTTTTTAATGAACACTTCAGCTGGTTAATACTATATGCATATTTACTGATCTGCTATTCACTTAATGTTTTAATTTTAACACAAGCTGATTAAACAAATGCTCCAATCCTCCCTCCAGTACAGATGAATCTAGTGAGATAGCAGCTCCATCATTCTTTTACTGCTAATCTTTTAAAATTGTACCCTTAAAGCCCCCCTAGCTTTTTCTATATAGTCTGCCCAAGGTGCAGGCCACGAACTACATCTGCTATTGAACTTGAACCTGTACTTGAGATTACAACCACCACTTCCCCAGAGATATGTACTACAATTTTGGAATAAAGGAAGCTTTGCCAAATAAGCAAGAAGCACCTTAAAGCAGAATGCACTTTGTGACCCAAAAGGTCCCTCCTAGTGCTATACATACATCAACAGATGCTGCTTCTAACTCTGCAGTTTTGATCTTGTTCAGAATAAAGCTAGAAACAAGCAACTTAGGTGAAGGCAAGGTTCTCTCACAAAAGATGGTAACCAAAGAATTTATAATCCGAACATTTTGTCTTGAAGAAAACTATATGCAAGTTTAATGCATGTAATTAAATGCATGTAATTAGATTCTTGATGCACATCTAAACCATTTGTTTTCATTTTTAAAGCATCTTCTCTCCTTTTCTAAGTATCTTCTTTTTTGAAACAGACAACAAAGGGATTTGCCCAAGGTCAGGCAGTGAGCCTTGGAAATGAGCCTGAATGTCTTGAGTCACTCTGGGGACTCATCCAGCAAAACATCTTGCCTTTCACAAGATTTTTCCATTTCTGAAGGCACTACTTCATTTGTGCCATGAAGACTTCTTATGTGATCCAGAAAGATGCATCAAACAGCCTCAATTCCAAGAGATGATGTACAAGGAGGGTAAAAAAAAATAGTCTCAAAAAAGTAATGTTTCAGAATATGCACCGTTCCTTTCAGAGCCATGGAGAAAAGTCAAAGCCTTTGGAAATCCAGTGTTAAAAAGCGAACAGGAGCTGTGGGTCAAAGACTGGCCATAAATGAAGGAAAAGGACAACCAAGAAGCAAAAAAAGACCTGAGCTGAAAGGATTACTAAAGAGCAGTAAATGTCCCATTTTCGGCACAGCAATTCTCAGGACTCTCTAAAGAAATGGAGAACACTTGACCTCTATTCAGTAGGGCAGGCAAACAAGTTTCAGAGGTCTGCATGGAATGATATCATACATGATAACCAGCAAAGAGCCACGCAACCTTAACAAAATGCTGTTGAGTGGATGACAGCCACGTACTTCTGGTAGGAAAACTTATGATACAGCATATTTAAAAGTGCCATGGCAAAGTATTTCTGAAACAATTCAGGGATTTTCTTAAGCTGTTCCTGTTGGGAAAGAG